TAAACCCTAGTGATTAACTTCTCTTAATAATGATCAATTATTCTACAACTCAACTAGACAAACCTATAACTATGCCAAGTTACTTAAACGTAGTGTGGTGTACATACAACAATAACAAGGATTCAAATAAACCATATCACTCTAAAAATCTCCAATGTATTGCTTGCTTTTCTATGTAGGTTTTGTGTTTCTTATATAGCATAATAATTTTGGCCTTTTCTCCTTGGATGTTTTATCTGATTTCATCCAGAAATAATGCAGAATATGTTGGATATTATTTGTCCCATAAATCTCTCCAACAAGATATGATTTGTTACAATTCAAATTCAAATTTAAATCTCCATTTAAATCTGAATTGTTCTTTGTCCAGATGTCAAACAAATTACCTAATCATATTATTAAATCAATAGCAATAAAATCTGATCCAATCTTTGATAAGAAAATCTTCCAAAATGCAAACATATTGGGACATTGTGTCTAGCATGTATCCCTTTTGCACCTCCATACAACTTAAACAAACTAGATTAATCTTAAATTCTTTAAACACTTCTCCATATTATTGCTTTATAAAATGCAATCAATCCATAAGAAACTACACCCTTCAAAAATACCAGCGTTCCTTAAAAACAACCGCAAATTTACTACAACACCCATAACGGTGGAGTTTTGAAAATTGCCGCAAATTATTTTGCGTGGGTAAAAAACCTCCGCAAAGTGAAAATAATATTTAATGTTTTCTATAGTGAATTGTATGGATTTAAGTCATATATAATATAAGTATAACAAGTTTTTACATTATCGAATAATAAAATTGATTAAATTTTTTTTTTTAAATTATTAATTTATAAATATCAACTATTTATTTAAATTACTATATAAATATTAAATAATTTACATTTATTTATCTCAATTAACACATATAATAGTTGACTTACCTCACAAATCCAAATTGATAAAAATTTTAGAAATCATTAACTTCTATTATAAGCACCACTTAATCATATTATGTAAATTGATGTCAAATTCAAATATTTTTAGTAAGAGTTTCATGGACATGCTGATGCACGGTCAGTGCAAATTTATTTTATAGGACCATCCAATAAAAAACTATCAATTAGTCAAGTTATCCAAATGGTTTTAAAATAGGTGAAAACTTATAGTTCAATTAGGTCTGTTGGAACATTAAATTGTTTCAGCTCATTCACCCTATTAAATTTAGTACTAATTATTACTGGACTAACTAAGATAAATTATAATGTAAAATCATTTTACTCCATATGAATATAAGTTAACCTATTTAAAAAATGCAACAACCATTTTTAATTTAAATTAATCCACATACAACAAAAATGAAGATTATAACAAGTGCAAAAGATCAATTGAATCATTAACAAAACATAATCAAGAAGCAACAGAAACAATAACTTGTTCTTCTTCCTCAAAGAACAAATCCTCCGTCCTCCTAAAAACCGCATGCACCACCACAACCACAACCGCAACACTAACCGCCGCAACAATATTCACAGTAGCGTGTGTAAGAAGCAACAGCGCCACCGTAACAAACGCCATAACAACAACCACAAGTCGATCATCAACAAGCCTACCCCATATGATCACCGGCTGATCACGAAGAAAGTAGAGGAACAACCACGCCGCCATTAGAAGGACGAAAACAATGAGCGAGTAAGGGTGCCATAAAAGGCTCAGAAACAAAATCAGAAGCATGACCATAGTGTAGTTCATGCGAAAGTACGAGATGTTGTCACGAATTCTTGATATTCCTTCTGGTGCGCCGTGGGCGGGGGTACCGAGTGAGCGGATATCGAACATGGTTTTCCATGGTCGACGAGTTCCTAAGCCGGCTTTGATTCTTTGTTTGCCGCGTGTTATGTATTCGAGTTTTGGTGGTGTTGGTGAGGTTGGGATTGTGCCGTAGGTTGTTGTCATAGTGGTGGAAACAAAACAACCTATGATGGAATTGAATGAAGAATGAAATGGTTAATACTTCGTAGAATTTGATAATTATAGTAAAAATTGGGTCCTATGATTTTGTGAGTTTGTTTATGTTTTATATACTTTAGTTTTGTGATGAGTGTATTATTATGGATTATGGATTTTGGATGATGGGATGTGGTCATGTGGATGGTAATAATTTGGGTTTGTAATTTGATTTTTGCTGTTGGAATTACATGTCTTTTTGTGAGTAGATAGGTAGATGTTTGATATGTTGTTTTCCAAATGAGTGAAGACATTCATAACATAGTATACATTTTGTTTTCAAATTTGGAAGTGGTTGTTGGTGTTGCTTTCTTCCTTACTTATAATGCTCAAACTATTTAATCATCGGACAAATCTAAAACATCAATAGTCTTTATAATATTGAAACTTTTAAGTAAAAGTGTGTCTGATGTTTGACATTAATACAACATTTTTTAAATTATTATTGTATTGATTTGTGAATAACGATGTAGTCTGCGTGCGTGTGAGTGTTTTATAGGCAATAGTTAATCACTTTACTTAATTAGGAGAAATTTTGTGGTTGTGTACTGCTTAAAATGTTGATGCAAGAAAGTATTTCATTTCCTGTTCCTCATGGACACCTTTAATTGTTTTTGAGAACATGAGATGATCTCTACTCATATTGTACTTATAATCATCCATGTTTCATGTCTAACCATGTTGTGGTTTTTAGTATTTGTTGTGTTTGTAAACGACAAAGAGTAGTAGTAATGTGATTGGATGGGGGAAGACAAGAATTCATCTTTGCTATATTTCATATGATCCCATACTTTCCAACTAACCACACTACACATTGTAGTGACAGCAGATCATGACTCTAGGCATGGCTGTGGGAAGCTCAAGGCAAGTGAAAGCATGTTCTTAAGTCCAAAATAGACCTTCGAATTAAGCTTTGCTAGACTCAAATTTAATCCATTCGAAATTTTACGGCTTAAATCTGATCTATAGTTTATCTTAAAATTCAAAATTTGATTAATTTACTTAAAACACTTTCATAGTAGTATAATATATATGATATGAGAAGGAACTTTTCTGAATTTATTGCCGCTACCGTGATTTTGCGAAAATTATAGAGTTTTTTATAATTATGAAAAGTCTACAATAATATCAAACATTTTTTTAAATAACAAAATAATATATAATATATAATATAATAAAAGGTGGGAGCTATTAAAATATATAACTCTATGTGACAATTAGCCTAAGGAGTGTTAAAAAGACAATCAAGAAAGCCAAAGAGTATATAAGAGAAATCAAACAGTCAGCAAAAACAACAGTACAACAAAACAGGTCAACGAAACTTAACGACTATAAGCCTATACAATTAAAAAATTAAATTCGGGTTCTTATGAAAACTTAGACCGTCAGAACTATCTAACAGATAAAAATCACAAAGAGAATAACAAAACTACAAATTAAATATAATTTCGAAACTAAGGCAAATGAGTTCACCTTTGCCTACCTAGTAACCATTTCAGATAAGGTTTCGAAGTCAGTAAAAAAAGTAAATGAGTTCATATGTGCCTACCTAGTAACCATTTCTAGGTAAAAAAAACTCTTCCCCTCCACTTCTTTCATAGTTTTTGAAACATATTTAAAAGTGATATCATTGTGGACTCTCCGAATAGACCAGACAATATCGTGTCAGATCATACAAAACCACTCAGACTTACCCCTACCACCTGCCAAGCCATCCACTAGAAGATCATATATCCCACAGACAAAGCTAAATCATAGATGACAAATAAAATGGAAGACCGACTCAACCGAATCTCCACACAAAGGACAAGAAATCTCCATAGAATTAACAATCACCGAGTGTAAACATATTTTCTCTAGAAGAAATTCTATCTCGCAAAAGATTTTTAAGAAAATATCAACACCTTAAAAGGAGTCAAACTAACCCAAATGAGGGGAAATGACAACTTCTCAACCAAATGAGAGGACAAGAAGAAGTAGAAATATCCCTTTGAACATGATAAGCTTAGGCAACACATAAAATACCCTCTTTAGTATGATTTCAATTCCACTTTCTCTTTCTTAAGAAAGAGTAGCGCCTTGAAGCATAGAGAGAAAGTTATCAATCACAAATCACATAAAAAGAAGGATCTCCTCTACCTAAGATCTCAAATCAATTTCCTATTTTCCATCGGACTAAACTCTCTCACCAATTCATCAAGTTGAAAAGAATTAAAAAACAGACTAAAAAACTTATTCTTTAAAAAAATAAAATCTTAAAAATATCATTTCAAAAGAAAGTTTAAAGACCTGATCCTTCTTTTTTAAAGATACTACCGACAAATCATTTGGAAGAATAGTCCTCTTTAGATTCAAAGAGAGACATCTTTCCACAAGAAAAAAAAAACAAATCAGAAACCGAATGTCCTCCTCCCAAAAAAAAGAAAAGAAAACAACTGAAACACCATGCATAACTACTAAAATATCGCACCAAAGGCCCAAAGCACATCTACCTAGCCTCCATTATCCATTCATCCAAATGGGCTACGCTACATGGTTATAGTTCTAAATTGCTACACTACATTGTTATTCCCGCAAGGCACTCATCCACTACCCAAATGCCATTTGTCGTTGTGTAAATCTTTATCCAAATATCAATTTTGCTTAACTATAGAATAATTATTTTTCTGTCCTAATAAATCAGCAGTTGATTAATTGACCAGGACTTGATGTAATAATGTACCCATAATTATTGTCTAAGTATTTTTACTAGTACTCTATGTCTCTAGTATTTTAGGCTAAAAAACATAGCTTCAAGCTAAAACTTGTAATGGGAAATACTTGAAGGTTGGAATGTGTCTCTATGTGAATTCCAAGTTATACAAGTCTTCTCAAGTTGCTAACTTTCATTTGCATTCCAAGGTTCCATTTCATTTTTCTTCTTCAACTAGTAAATTATATATATGCCAGTAATTCATAATGGTAAATTGACACCAAATTTAAGAGTTTTATTAAGAAAATAAATGGAGGAAACGCCTACACTCTTTCATGGAACAATTGAAGCTACCATCTTTAAGGCCACACCTTACACACCATTTCCTCTATTCAACGTGAGTATGATTTGATTGCATTTTTTTTCTTCTTTATCTTCATAAGGTGACAACAAAGCTTTTTAAATACAAGTACTATCAAGATATGTACTATAGTGATATTTTACTCTCTTTTTCTATCATTATACTAGTATTTGTATTTGTACCAAATACAATACCATATCTGTACTGAATACTGTACCTGTATTCATTGACAATAGATTAGATTCAAGTATAATAAAATTGTAGATTTTCGACTTGGTCATGTGAAATCAAAACCTTGTACACCTCAACCCCTATAATTATATGTAGCTATACTTTGAGAGTTTTGTAGTGAAATCATAAACTCATAGCATTCATGGATTTCACTTATTTTCCAGTGCATAGGTAAAAATGGAAAGGCTGCATATGTGACCATCAAGATAGACAACAAAAAGGTTGCAAAAACAAGCAAAGAAAGAAACCGTGTTTGGAACCAAACCTTTCACATTCAATGTGCTCATCCAGCTGATTCAATTATCACAATTACATTGAAAACATCAAATTCCATGTTAGGAAAATACAGTATCAAGGCCCAACAACTTTTAAATGAAGCAAGTATAATCAACGGATTCTTCACTCTTCTCACGGAACAAAAAAAACCGAATCCAAAACTTAAATTGAAGTTTATATTATGGTTCAAGCCTGCAAAATTGGAAGAGAGTTTGGAAAAGGTACTAAGCAATGGGGAGTTTCAAGGGCTAAAGGATGAAAATTTTCCACAAAGGTCTAATTGTCATGTTAAACTTTATCATGATGCTCATCATTCTCCTACCTTTCAACCTCCCTTTGATCCATGTGGGGCTCCAAACAACCTATGGGAGGATATTTATAAAGCCATCGAAGGTGCAAAGCATATAGTTTATATTGCCGCTTGGTCCCTCAAACCCAAGATAGTTTTGGTAAGTATACTTTTTTTTTTGACAACATACTAAATACATGTTTGGTTTCATTTTTCGGAGAGTTAAAATGATTCCAAAGACTTGTCCAGTTAAGCCAACTCATTTGGTAGTTGAGCAAGGATATCTGACTATAGGGGCGTGGGTTCAAATCTATGACATCCCACTTATACATGTTATGCATTGATTTGTTTGTTTTTTATACATTTATATACATTGTTTGAGTCTGTGCTGGACAGGTAAGAGATCCTCATACAAAAATCCAACATGCAAGAGGAATGAATTTAGGTGACCTGTTGAAAAAGAAGGCAGATGAAGGAGTGGCTGTGAGAGTTATGCTTTGGGATGATGAAACATCATTGGCCTTAGTTAAGAACAAAGGTGTAATGAACACACATGATGAAGATGCTCTTACTTATTTCAATCACACAAAAGTAATATGCGAAAAGTGTCCTAGATTACACCACAAGTTTCCAACACTATTTGCTCACAACCAGAAAACTATAACAGTTGACATAAAAGTGGCTAAATCGGTTAGCGATAGAGAAATTATGAGCTTTGTTGGTGGTTTAGATTTGTGTGATGGTAGATATGATACAGAACAACATTCATTGTTTCAAACACTCATTAAGGAGTCACATTGTTATGACTTTTACCAACCAAACATTGAAGGAGCTAGCCTTAACAAAGGAGGACCAAGAGTTCCTTGGCATGATGCTCATGCTTGTGTTACCGGTGAAGCTGCTTGGGATGTGTTAACAAATTTTGAGCAACGATGGGCTAAGCAATGTGATCCATCTCTTCTGGTCCCTATTAGCACCTTGGTAAATCTCATGCCTCGAAGAAACTCAAACACTTCGATAGAAAGTAATTGGAAAGTACAAGTTCATAGGTCGATTGATCAAGCTTCGGTTGGTGATATATGTGGAAATTTCACTGCGGAGAGGAGTATCCATGAAGCTTATGTTGAAGCAATTAGGCATGCTGAGAGGTTTATATACATTGAAAACCAATACTTCATTGGTGGATGTCAGTGGTGGAAAAAAGATAAGGATTGTGGTTGCACAAATCTAATTCCAATTGAAATTGCATTAAAAGTGGTAAGTAAGATCAAAGCAAAGGAGAGATTTGCAGTGTATATAGTTATACCAATGTGGCCAGAAGGAGTGCCTGAAAGTGAATCTGTTCAAGATATATTGCATTGGACAAGAGAAACTATGACAATGATGTATAGGTTGATTGGTGAAGCAATAAAACAAAGTGGTGAAATAGGACATCCAAGAGACTATTTGAATTTCTTTTGTCTTGCAAACAGAGAGCATAAGGGAAAAGGGGAGTATCTTCCACTAGATTTTCCCCATCTTGAAACACAATACTGGCATGCACAAAAGAGTAGAAGATTCATGGTTTATGTACATTCGAAGCTCATGATAGGTACTAGCACTATTCTTTTAGTATTTATCAACTATTACTTTCATTTCTATTTATTGGCCTCGTTAAGAATCACATATCGAATAATATATGGTTTGAATATGTGTTTATCATTGGGGCAATCCTCACGTTATAAATCGGTTTTGTAGGAATGGGTTAGATCCAACACACACATTCTAAGATTGTATCATAGTCTTATTTAAGATCTGTTAGACCACTTGTTATCAGCTTTATGCTAATCACGATGTTTATTTTTAGACCACATGTTATCAACTTTCTGTTAATCGCTATGTTTATTTTTGTTGCATGTATGTATGTCACCAGTGGATGACATGTACATACTACTAGGTTCAGCTAACGTGAATCAAAGATCCATGGATGGGAAAAGGGACACTGAGATAGCCATAGGATGCTTCCAATCTCAAGATGAAGTTATGAAACAAATGAACCTTGGCGATGTTCATGCATACAGAATGTCACTATGGTATGAGCACACAAATAGTTTCAATGAGTTGTTCTTAGAGCCAGAAAGTTTGGAATGTGTGAAGAGGATGTGTTCCATTGGAGATCAAATGTGGGAAACCTACAGCAGTGAAGAAATTGTAGACATGGAAGGTGTGCACCTTGTTACTTACCCAATGAGAGTAACACAAGAAGGCTATGTGAAAGACTTGAGCAATGGAGTTTATTTTCCTGATACAAACTCTCTAGTGAAGGGGAAAAGATCTACATTGCCCACTAATGTTATGGCACCATCAAATGATGAAATTCATGAAGAGATACTTAAAGTCTCAAATGAAGAGGAAGATTCAATCCCTAGACCAAGAGCCAAGAGAAACACTGACAAGCCCAAACATTTTGAGAATTATGTAATGCCAAAATGTAAGAAAGGGGGTAGGGAGTAGCAAGTACAAGAATATTCCCTAGTTAGACTCACTAAAGTTGTTATGTCATTAGAGTTTGTTAAAAAGTGCATTGGATTGTATTGAGAATTGTACTATTTAAGGTAACTATTGCACAGGAATGAAACCAGAGAATTTGAATGAAGTTAGTTGTTAGTGTTAACAATAGAATATTCTTAAACACTTCAAGTACCTCATCCTTTCTATTGATTATGTACGTTCGTAGTTTTCTACTATGATCATCAATGAATGTGATAAAATATCTATTATCATCAGTGAAATCAACTTGCATTGGTTCACACACATCTGAATACACCACCTCAAGGTGACAATTGATTCTACAACATGCATCCTTTCTGAATTTTCTCTTATATTGCTTCGGTTGCACACATTTTTCACAAATTTCAGTCGGTATGTTGATCAATGGCAGTCCCGTTACCATTTCGTTCTTTTGCAAGGTATTGAAATCTCAGAAATTAAGAGAGTCAAGCCTATAGTGTCATATTCACTCTTCTCGACTAGCCGATGTAGTAAGACACTATGCTCTATAACCTTCAACTCAAATTTGAAAGTTCTATTGAGAATCATAGGAGCCTTTAAGACCAAAGCTATGTTTGCGTCTATAACGCGTAACGTCTTGTTCTCCAAATGAATCTTGTAAGCCTTCTTAAGCAATTGGTCAATACTTAGAAAATTACACTTGATTCCAGGGATGTACAATACATCCTTTATCAAATAATGTCCACATTCTCTTCTTTTGATCGATACATCATCGATCATTTCTGCCGCTAGAGTGGTATCATCCGCGAACTTTACTTTGTTCTTTAATGACACGGTTAATTGTAACAAACCAATCTTGTCTTTTTGTCATGTAAGTTGAACATCTGGAGTCCAAATATCATTGATCGTTGCACTATATTATCTCTTTCATAGTCACCATAGTGTTTTCTTCTACATGTATATACGTAATCGATTACAACCTTCTTTGTCAGTCTGTTGTAACTCACTGCAACTATTCAAAACTCTGCTACTGCTGTATTCTCCTTCAATAATCATCACCAAGAGTGTGTTCTCATTATCAAACTCTTGTCTAGCAACTCTAGCTTCATCTTCTTGAGGTTATTTTTTATTGGCATTGCACTCTCTTGTAAAATAACTAAGCTTTTGACAATTATAGCATTGTACACCACACTTGTCAACCATCCTTTTTTCCACCTCTTCCTCTAACATTTGTTGAAAGTGTAATTTTTTGTGTCGAAGCAGGTTGTTGCTCGACACAAGGTGTGTCGAAAAGCTTAGTTTGTCGAGTTGTATGTAGTTGTCGAAGTGTTGTAGCAGATACACACAAATTCGATTTAGATCCGAAATAGGTATTTTGGGCTTTTGTGTTTTGGGATTTGATTTAGAGAGTAAGCTAACGTAAAATATAAATATAGGGAGTAACACTTATTTTTTATAATTAACTCAGAAAGAGTACTCACATAATTTGTAGTTGCAAGTGAATAAGGATTTTCCACAGTTTGTGGTCAGAGAGAAACTCTACAGAAACCCTAATATCTTTTCTTATTTAAATTTTCATTTTATTTTCATTGCCATTGTGTGGTGATAACAATCTTGTTCATCAAGATTGATAAAAATTCTCCATAGGTTTTGGCGGATTTCCAATATCTGGTATCAAGAGCTCTGGTTGAGCGATTCATGGTGAAATTATGGTATTCATATCACAGATATTCTAAGAGATGTCGAGACATCGATATCTGAATTTGCACACAATGACAAGGTAAACGATAAATACTGTGTATAAAAGTAAATAACACGCAAAATTGTTAACCCAGTTCGGTGTACACTCACCTACTCTGGTGACTATTAAGCTAGGGACAAAATTAACTAGATAATATCAATTTGAAGTTAAATTCCCCCGTTTACAACTTCTCACTTAATCACTACCCTTGCTTAACTTCTACCTAAGACTCACCTAGGTATGAGACCCTTCTCAAATCTCTTTTAGTCACAGACAGTGATAAGAACATAATTCAAACGAATTACTTAGAAGACACACTTCAATGACACATAATCATTCATTGCTTAAATGTTTTGGAATGTCTGGCAGAACTTACAACTCAAAAATGTAGTCCTACTCTTTCATCAATATGATAATTGAGAGGCTCACAATAAACAATCAAAACCTAACAAAATACAATGCAAGTTCCACACTAAAACTATGTTAGTGACATTCTATTTAAAGCCATCCTCTGAATTGGATTGGGCTTTACAATCGCGGCAAATCAGCTGCTAAAACTCAGCAAAATCTTCTGCACAAATTAGGACTTCAATAATTAGTTTCCTAAATTATATTCAAATTTAGAAACTAAGAGTATTCCTTGTATTCAGCTAGAATCTCTTTCAATCTTCAACTTGATCACCACATAGGATAGCATAATATTTCTAGAATATTCTGCACTTGTAACAACTAAAATATTCAACAGTCCAGGTATACAAGATCACGATGTCAAAAGAACCTGTTAGTTCTCTGTTGTTATGATTGGCATAAATTTTAATAAAACAAATATAACAACAACATGGTAAATAGGATATTCTAAACTGCTGAAAAAGGCTTGTGGAACAAGAAGTTCTATGTTAAGAATAAATATGTTGAGTTGAGATATTTCATCACCTGAAGCAACATGTCGAACAAGATGTCCTATGTAGAGTCACTCGACATCGTGACTGTGTTGAGATGGACACTTGGATTGGCTTAAGTTATAACATATGTAGAATATCCTGAGAATATTATGTTGTCCTATGTGGCGATCAGTTTGAAGATTGAAGAAGATTCAAGTTGATTTCAGTGAGTCTTATCAGTTTCTATTTGTGGAGACAAATTTAGGAAACTAATGACTGGATATTTTTATGAGGAAGATTCAACAACTGATTTTCTATATTTCTGAAGCCCAATTCAATCCAGAAGATTGCTATAAATAGAAGGTTTCAAACCTAATTTATGTATGGAATGAATTGTAACTTTTATTTATCCTTTAGGGTTGTGTTTCATCGATTATGTGATCCACTCTATAGTAGAGATAGACTGTGTTAATTGTGATCCACTCTTGTACTGTTTTTTACTAGAGTTGGACTGTTAGTTGAGTTGTAACTATTATGAATTACTCATTAGTTGTTAAGCAAGAGTGAATTTTATTTATTGAATGATGCCTCTTTCTTATCTGTCAATCATTCCAAAGCTTTGAAGAAAAGAATGATTGTGTGTATGTGAATTTTGTTTTCTAATTTGTTGAGTTGTGGTTGTGCTACTATCTATGATGGTCGGGGAAGTGAGACATGTCTCATATCTAGGCGAGTCTTAGGTAGAAGTATAATATGGGTAGTGATTAAATAAGAAGTTATAAACGGGGGAATTTAGGTTCGAATTGATACTATTTAGTGGATTTACTTCCTGGCTTGGTAACCCATGGAGTAGGTGTGTCTATTCACTGAATTGGGTTAACAATTTTGCGTGTTGTTTACTTACTGCACTGTTTTAGTTAGACTTGTTCATTGTACTGTTGTTCAGAGATAGTTGTCCCGATATCTCTTAGGACATCTGTGATCTGAATACCAAAATTTCAATTAGTATCAGAGCATGCATCCTGTTCTATTCTGGGTGAGATCAGAGAAGATACTTTCTGGTTTAATGGACAAGAAAGGAGGATTTGTCAACAATATCTCTGCATAGGGCTGGTTTGAAGAATACATATTCAGAGGCGGTGATAAGAGAGTTCAGGGGTGACACTCCTAGAACATGTGACACAATCAAGGAGTGTTGGAGGCTATTTGATAGAGGCAAAAGATGGAGGATCACCGGAAGATGATCAAGACTGTCTTGTTCCCAAAGCTATAGTGCTTCTGGTACCACTACTGATGGTGGTATACGTGTGTATGATGTCTTACCAAATGTTATGACATCGTGTCTGTTTTGTGAACTTGAACTATTCATATTGTTGTTCGGATGATCCCTTGAAGCAGGATGGTAGATTATCTGTGACATCATGTAATTGTGTGTATATGTGATAAGTGCAAATTAAAGCTATTTTTGTATATACTTTTTGTTTCACTTATCAACTCTTTGTTGTTAATATCGGTTGAATAATCCTGACTTTTGTGTAAATAAGTTTAGTTTGTGTTTATTTGTGTTTTTGTGTACATAGTGTACCGTTTGATATTTTTCCATTCATTTTGTAGGCATTTGTTGCATTTTGGAGCATTGGGGAATAAGGTGTTAAAGGTACGTCTCCGGATGCACGTTTTCGGAATAAAAGATCAATTTTGAGAAGTTTTTCCCAAGAGAGCCCACTTAGCACGCAAAAGGCCGCTAAGCGTGAGTGCGCTCAATGCATTTTATATCGCGCTGCTTGCGTTTTGACATTTTGGCAGAAGCTTAGTTTTGGAGCCCGCTTGGCGCGGATAGCGCAGTTTAATGTATAAATATCACGCATCCCACTTAGCGCAGTGAGCCCGCTAAGCGCAGTCTGATGGAATTTGTTTGATAACTTCATTTTCAGTTTATTTTTTGTTATGGTTTTTGGGGTGTTTTTGTTCCCAAATTCTATCAACCTTATTTTTGATAGATTAGTTTAGAAAACAACACCATGGCTTTGCTTATGAATGATTAGATGGGGATTTCTCATTGATCGGCGCTGACAAACTGGAAGATTTATGGTTTATCTCTTCTCCTCTCTATGTATTTCTCTTTTATTGGGTTTTGTATGTATTTTTACTTTGAACTCGTGTATATTTTTCGCCCATCGCGTTGTATAAAACTTGCTTTAAAAATCTTTGTCCATAGTTATCCTTGATTTTTACTCTATACTAGGGATTTGAGTTGCTATAGACATATACTGCTTAGATTCTTATCTAGGATGATCATCTGTTAGTTTATGGATTCTAGAGATAGATTTAGAGCTGACATTCACTTAGGGTGTCTGTGATTAATGCCTTTGTTGTTTGTG